GGTCAACTTCAAATGGTCATATCTCATAGATCGAAACGAATTAGGTGGTCCATTACCTATCCAATTAAAGATCTCTGATCCCTCTTTCCAACGCCACCGAGTTTGCCTAATTCCGATCTCGGAATAAAAAGTTATGGCCAAAATAGTGAAGCACTGTTAGTCCCGGGTCTAATCGACGGACCTAAACTATGGACAGTAAATCAAACGATGGTCCGTCGGCTAAACGCTTACTTCCCATCATGTGAGATTTCATTATGGTTTCTTGATAGGTTCTACAAAGTGTAGGTAGTAGTATAGGATGCTACCTATACATTGCACGATTAGGCTTGGAGAGGGTCATAGTGAGTTTCTCTAAATCCTAATAACTGTGCCATGAATGTGCCCTAAATTTGGTTATTAAAGAATGTTGGCTCTTAAATGCTTAATATGATATGCATGCTATACTTGGGTTATATTATGAGTTATTTTCCTTTGTCATGTCTTATTAAATGATATATCTCTTATGTATGAATATTGTGCAAAGGTGAAAAAGAAAGAAATGATGAGTTTATTTTAGGTGACCTAAATGTGGTGCCCTAGTATGGATGGTGGTATGGGATGCTATCCATACATTGCACAAGGTATAGCATAAGGGTTGCTTGAGGTGAAGGTCCAAGGTAAAGGTAAAGGTTTTCATGTTGATATTGTTAAAGTGTGATATTTTGACTTACATGATGATTATACTTGTCTTGTATGTCTTTTATGCAATTGTTCATGATATTTCAAAAAGTGGCATATTGCATGGTTTCTAACCAAAATGTCCCTTTTAAAGCATGTGTTGCATGGTCATCATACTTAGCACATTTCTGTGTACTAACCCATAATCTTCATGTTTTTACTACAAGTGTAGGTTCCGGCAAGTGATTCCTCCTAGCTAGTTTGAAGTGTTGGATTGCCTTCCTCCAAGACTTGGTATGTCCTCATGGATTCGAGGACAAAACTTTTAAGTTTCTTTTGTTCATGTAATAGACACTTTTAGTTATTGTTTCAATTGTAAAGGGTTGTGTCCCTACTTATGTTTTGAGATTGTGTCTAAGATGGCCATGTGAGACTTAGACTTCCGCTGTGTCTTTTTAAAGTGGTTTTAATGGAGTTGAATGTTAGGATTTAAATAAGTTTTAATTCCGCACTATGTTTATTACCTATGCAATGAATGAATGCTATGAGGCTTGTATAAGACCCCTTTGGGGTCGAGTACGTCGATTACGACTAGGGGGTGCTCTCGAGTAGTGACAACAACTGATAAAATGGTCCATAGTTTGAATACATTACTAAACCCTACAGTTATCCCTTCCAATTCTAGCAATGTGTATCTCCCAAATGGTTAAACTGCAGAAGTTACTCACATTGGTTCTGCTACCTTATTTGACCATTGTAACATTAAGAGATTCCTTTATATTCCACAATTTTCCTACAATCTTTTGTCCATTTCCAAGCTTATTAAAGAACTCAATTGTTGTGTGTCTTACTATCCTCATTTTTGCCTTTTTCAGGACCTTTGCACTGGAAAGGTGAGGGGGATCGGTAAGGAAGAAGGAGGCCTTTACATGCTCCCACCTACCAAGAAGCCAAAGCCACCATCACCTGCTACTGCACTTTCATCTAACATTGAGTATGTTTTTTCCCTATCTTCTCCAACAAACATTTCCATCTGCATATGAGACTTGGTCATGCTCCTATTGCAGTACTACACAAAATAGACTCACTAAGACCTCGGTTGCAGAATAAAGTTTTCATTCATGTCATGTGTGTCTTCTTGCAAGACAAACTAGATTCCCCTTCCCTTGTAGCACTAAGAAAAACTGTATCACCTTTTGAAATTCCGCATATAGATGTTTGGGGGCCTTATAAGCAATGCACTTATAATGGTCATAGGTTTTTTCTTACCATTGCTGAATGACTTGGATTTTTTTGTTGAGATACAAAAATGAAGTTGTGACTTTTATCACAACCTTTATTAATCTCATCAAAAATCAGTTTTCAACTTCTATTAAAACTATTAGATCAGACAATAGTCTTGAACTTTTTAACTCACAATGTCACACTCTTTTTACTTCTCTTGGTATAATTCACTAGAGTACTTGTGTCCACATACCTCAATAAAATGGCATTGCAGAAAGAAAACATAGACATCTTCTTGAAATGGCAAGGGCACTCAGGTTCCAAGCTCATGCACCCTTAAAGTTTTGGAGGGAGTGTGTACTTACAACCACCCTTCTTATAAATAGACTTCCCTCATCTATTTTGGCAGGAAAATCTCCCTATGAGGTCTTCCATAAACAAGTGCCCAAACTACACTATTTGCGAGTTTTTGGCTGCTTATGTTATGCCATAAAACCAGTCACCACTGACAAATTTTCTCCCAAGGCAATTCCTTCTATTTTTATGGGCTATTCTAATACACAAAAAGGTTACAAACTTTACAATATTGCCACATATTCCTTTTTTGTTAATAGGGATGTATCCTTTAAGGAGGATATCTTTCCATTTAAACATCCCAAACATAAACCTCCTTCTCATACTCCCATTTTTCCAGTCCCTTTATCTTCATTTCCTAACCCTATAGATGAATGTTTTCTTCTATCTTTTCAGACCCCCAAACCAGTCTTCCTCTTGAGAGACCTGATCCTCAGTCCATTAATTCACATACCATTCCTTCACCCTCAGTTCCTAACTCTCCATCACCTATCTATCCTCATCTTACACCTCCACTTCTTGCAACTCCTCAAAGAAAATCTTCTAGATCCACCAAACCACCCATCTGGCATACTGACTATGTCACTACTTCCAAAACATCTCATCCTATTTCTACTTCCATTTCCTACTCTAATATCACACCTTATAAATCTTATCTTTCCATATTTTCCTCTTCTATTTCAGAACCCTCCTCTTTTGACCAGGCTTCCAAAAATAGTAATTGGATTTTGGCTATGGACTAAGAGATTCAAGCACTCACTGACAATCACATTTGGGAGGTTATTGATTTGCCTCTAGGAAATTAACTTATCGGTTGCAAGTGGGTGTATAAGGTTAAGTACAAAGTTGATGGCAGTGTTGAAAGATATAAGGCCAAACTAGTTGCTAAGGGGTTCACTCAGTAGGAAGGTTTGGACTATCATGATACCTTCTCCCCTGTGGTGAAAATAGTAACTGTGAGGTTTGTTATTACTTTGGCTGCTCAGTCTAGTTGGCCTATTTTTCAGATGAATGTGTATAATGCCTTCCTTCAAGGAGATTTATTTGAGTAGGTATATATAACCTTACCAACAGGATTTGCCACCCAGGGGGAGCATAAGTCTTTAGGTTGCTCAAATCCTTGTATGGCCTGAAACAAGCCAGCAGACAATGGAACTTAAATCTCACTAATGCCCTCATCCACTCAGGGTTTACACAAAGCAAGCTGGACTATTCACTATTTACTAAAACAAACATTGTTGGTGACATTGTGATCATACTTGTATATGTGGATGGCCTTTTGATCACTGGTACATGAGGCTAAAGATGTCCTACATCATAACTTCAAGATGAAGGATTTGGGTGAATTAAGGTACTTCCTTGGTATTGAATTTGCAAGGTCAAAAAGTGGGATTTTGATGAACCAAAAGAGGTATGCTTTGGAGTTAGTATCAGAATGTGGGCTAGTTGGAGGATAGGCAACTACAACTCCTCTTGAACAAAACCAAAAACTTACAAGTTTGGAGTACGACAATCAATTTAACATCACAAATGATGTTGAGTTAGAAGATAGAAGAGTCTATCAGAGGCTAATTGGGAGACTGGTATACTTAGCCATGACAAGGCCATATATTTCTTATGTTGTGCAACATTTGAGTCAGTTCATGCATGCACCAAAGAAGTCTCACTATGATGTAGGCTTACATATAGTAAGGTACATTAAAAGGCAGCCTTTCTAAGGACTATTGATGAGCAGCAAGAAGTCAGGAAAAATCAATGCTTATTGTGATGCCGATTGGGCATCATGTGTGTTGTCTAGAAAGTCTGTAACAGATTTTGGTATTAAGATTGGTGAATCTTTGGTTTCTTGGAAGTCAAAGAAACATAATATAGTCTCAAGGAGTTCAACAGAAGCTGAATATAGGAGTATGGCAACAACTGTGGCAGAGCTGATGTGGCTACAAGGGTTATTGCAAGAACTTGGAGCTCAAGTTGAGTTGCCAATGGAGTTACACTGTGATAATAAACCAGCAATGCAAATTTCTTCAAATCCCATGTATCATGAACAAACAAAACATATAGAGATCGATTGTCATTTCATCACAGAAAGGATGCAAGAAGGATTAGTTAAGACTAGATACATAGCAAACAGAGAGCAAGTTGCAGATATTTTCACCAAGGCATTGAGAAAGCAATTACACAATGACATGTTGTTCAAGTAAGGAATGCTGGACATATTCCACCATCTAACTTGAGGGGGAGTGTTAGAACGAATGTAATGCATAATTAGTTGTAGTTAGTTGAGTTTGTTAATATGTCATTAGTTAGTTACAATGCTAATTAAAAGTTAGTTAATTAGTCAGAAGGGATGTATAAATAGGAGCTCTTTCTCATTTGATAAAGCAAGTTAGTTAATTCATTTTCCTCTGTATTTCTTCCATTCTCAATTCTTCTCTCAATTGCTCTCACATGGCTAGTAAGCTCACATTCAATATTTTTTATAATTGCATATTTTAGGGTGCAAATTATAATGAAATGGTGAGGGATTTTATGAAACTTTTGGTCACCCTAACATGCATTCTCTTTTGCACTACCACTTGTTTATGTTCACACTACTTTCAAATAATAGAACGATGAGAGAGGGGTTTGTTATCCCCTGAATATTAATGTACATTCTCTCATTATATATATTGATGAAACAACTTGTCAAAAATGAACATCAATTGGGACTAGGAGGAGGATCTAAGTAACCATGAGCACATAGTTAAATATATACATACATACAATGACTTCTTTGCCTTGTGTCCAACTCAATTATATAGTATTTAGTTAATTGTGCGAAAGCTTGCTCCATTATACCAAAAGTTGCCTGGTTCCTTGCCTTTCTCATCTGCAAGAGATCTTAAACAACATACATACGTGGCAATAAAGTCACTGTTTACTGATGGAATTTAATTTTTACTGTGAATGTGAATGTGAAATAATAATCCAGGTATATTTCAGCATGGAAGAGAATATTACCACAAGACCTCAAGGCCATAATATGTCAAAGGCTTGGACTTCCTTCTACGGGAACAACAGCACATCCTAACAAACAAGTAGATGTCCAAAGTAAATACTTAGAAACAATGGAGACACTAAATTATTATTATTGGCAAATAAAAATGTATAGCCTGCCTAGCTCTGTATTGAAACATAGATAAAAGGAAAGGAAGAAATTAGTACCATATTTGATGAAAAGTGATGTCATGCACTTCCATCCTTCGATTGCCTAAGCCTCCGTAGATGTTGAGCTATCTCTGTCAAGAGTTTGATTCCTTCATCATCCCTCTGTAATGTCATAGTAGCATGTTTTAAAAACATGCTCTCTGCTTCGATGGCACTCAACCTCTCTCTAATTACTGAAACTTCTCTTCTAAGAGTCACCTTATTTTCACAGTATCCTACCAACAACAAATTATAAATATCTGCAAAAGTCATGAGAAAACAAAAAAAAAAAGAGAAAAGATTCAATTACGTACGAACTTTTTCCTTCAGATTCATAAAATCCTTCATCCTTAGATGTTGTAATTTTGTCTTCAAGCTTGGCCAATAAACCCATGAGGTAACATCTCTCATGCTCAAAATCATATTCGAAAGTGCCTAATCTATGTTGTTCTCCTTCATCAGGACTGACACAAGTTGATCTTTCACTAAGGGATGAAAAAGAATGAGAATTCCACTCTTCATCAACTTCACACACCTCACTTCCTACTCTCTTCATATCTCCATATCTTTCCCTATATGTCTCAACAACAACTTCCATCACCTTTATGTCTTCTTCTCTTTTCAAAAGCAAATCTTTCATCACTTGCAAAGCCTCTTGATCATATTCTGCCTGCTCTTCCATCATTCTCTGATACTGTAATGCCTCCATTTGGACAGCAGCCTTCTCTGCTTGTAACCGAGTGATCATGGCCATCGCATTGTTTGCTGCAACAGCAGCCGCACTTCTTTCCTCATCAAGCTCCATGTAAAGTGCAATGACAGACTTGTGGTCCAAATGGACTTGCCTCTTCAACCGATGTAGGATGTCATTATCTGATTCATTCACTACATCATTACTCTCTGAAATCAATTCCATACTCAATTTTCTAGGCCTGTGTGACCATCTTGGACTAGCTTGACATGAATCTGACAATGGGATACCAAAGAACTTATTTCTTGTAAAATTTGCAGTTTTCAAGGCATCATCATTTATTTCCTCTGAATTAGCACCTTTAATATTATCCTCTCTACCTGCTGCAAGAAAGAAGACATTATTATTCTTACTAGTTAGTAGTAAAACATGGGGGAAAATATATACCTCCATCGTCCAAATCATTATCGGAGATGAACTTGAGCTGTGTGTAGTCCTCATTTCTCCAAGGAGCTTGAGAAGAAGGATTTGACTTTGATCTTATTTTGAGAGGCTCCCCACAACAAGAACACCCAACAAAAGAAGTTGTTGTTTGGAGCATAACCTCATGATCCTCCTTCTTCATGTGAAGTGCATCCTCCACAAAGCAATCAATATCCTTGTGCAGAATCCCAACTAGTGACTTGTACCTATCACAATCAGCATCTTTCTCTGTTGCAAATGATAGAAGGCATCCCTCACACATGTTCTTTATATCAGAGAGCTTCTTGTGGACATGGCAATAAGCAAGGGAAGATATATCCTTCTTGTGAACTTCACATATAGAGTCATTGTAATAAAAGTTTGCATCCCTATGAACGAGAATGTGATCGATCCTCATGCAAAGCAAGCAAGGGATTTTCAAGTCACACAACTTGGCAAATTTATTAGAGAAAAAAGCAAGAAACCCCTCAATGAAAAGCAAAAGGATCATCACCCATTCAAGAAGAGCATATATGAAGAAGAATGCAAATTTCCCCATCCTTTGTTCAACACAACACTTGAAAGCCATTATTCCTTTGTGTTTATTGATGTATGACAAAAGATGAAGAAATTAATTAATCAAAAAAAAAAGATGAAGGATCATGACCATGGTAGGAAAAGTGAAACCAGGATCATCATGACCTAAGCTCCCACTTTCTCTCTCCTCACTATATCTTTGATTGATGATAATAGAGGAATTAAGAGAGTTTGCCTACTACTCCAAACTATTGGATGGTGTAGTTCATCTTTAGCTATATGTAGTCAATGGTCACTCTTTTTTGTTGTCTGATCATTTACCTCAATTAACTCTCCTCCCTCCATTCCACCTTCCTCTTTCATTCCAAAATTATCAATGCCTCTTAGGTTAAATTATTTCTCCCTATGTAATTCATTATCATCATATCTAGTTATAAAAAATATATGTTAATTTATTTTAGAAATTAATTATGACACAAGAAATAAAAAATCAACTATAGAAATAAGAAAATGATAAAATCACAATACAAATATTTTTGTAGAATTAGAGCTTAAGTGAATTACATTTTTATTATCAAATACTTTTCAAAATTAAAAGGCTAATTTATGGAAAAAAATCATATATTATGATGTTAATACATATAATTCGAATAAACCTATTTATGGACTTGATTTATTTTTTCTTGTTTTTATTAAATGCTAAATTTACTATCGAATCTTCTTTTTATTTGAAAAAAATGATGAAACTAAAAATAGGAGGAAAAAGAGGTAAGTATTTCAATTTAATGTCTTCTATGATACTTAATCCTTTCATTTTCATTGGTTTTTCTCTTATTTTTCATCATCGTCTAAATAAAAAAAATTCTCGTATTTCCATAATCATCATTTAAATAAACCTCTATTGCTAATTTTTGTGTATATATTATATTATACTTTTGGTAATTCTTTAAAGTAGAAGAAATGAACAAATTTAGAGAAAATGTAAATGGTTCTTCACCATAAGAAACACCTAAGAACTGTGTATTTCAATATTTAATATACATTTCTTTTGAGCCATGAGTAGTAAAATTTGAACGTCGGTTAGTGTAGTTAGCTATTTCTGGCAAAATTACAAATAACTAATTTGAGCCTAAGTGAAAATGTAATTTACTACAATTAAATTTTTTATAAGAACCTAAATTTAAAAATATTATAGAGATAAAACATTTTTGTTAAGTTCGTAATCACAAAAACAAAGATGAAAAAAAGTTACCTAATCAATGCACATATTTTCGAGTTTTTATCTGGCTCCCCTTCTATCCACATGATCCAAGAGACTTTCTATGGAGTCAAACTAAAGTATAAATATGATATTACAATAATAACATAAAATATCACTATTTCAAATATGAAATAAAAATAATAATTTTGAGTAGAAATCTTATGAAACAAAAAATTTGAATTTATATTGACAAAATTAAAGTACTATCATAAGGTATCTTAAATTTTGAAATTAAATAATGGGGGTTATGAATATGAGAATTTAAAGAAAATGAGTTAATAATATTAATTAAAGTAAAAGTTCAATAGGTATAAGTTATAGAGATAAAAATTTTAGTATATATAAAATAATGAAGACCAAAAAAAAAAAAACTCATGAATTTGGGTGTCTAAGTTTTATTAGGAAAGAAAGCAAATCAACTTCTTCTTTTTGTATTACTCCATTGTGTTTAACAAAATTGGTAGAGGAAAAAAAATACAATAAAAAAAGAGACAAATATCTTGAAAGATTGAAGTAGTAAATATTGAGACTTTTAATTATTTTTTATAAAGAATAATAATGAGTGTAAATAATTTTTGAGACATTTAAGTATAACAATAAATAGAGGAGTAGTAATTCGTATATTTATTTTTTGTACAATAATAAATAAGTAGAAAAATATGAAAAATTGTCAAAAAAATTTGAGGAAAAAGATAAATAAAATCCTTTGGGCCTTGGCCAAAGAGAGGTGCAACTTCACGTTTCTAAAATCTAGCTTAAATTATATAAAGATTTTTAAGCACAATAATATCTAATACCTATGAGAAATGTACTATATATAATATACCTTTCAACCATGGCAAAAATTTAGAATATTGAAATAAAAATAATACATTAATTGAAAAAATTGTCAAAAAATTGATGAACAAAATAAATAGAATCCTTGGCCAAAGAGAGGTGCAACTTGAATTTTCTAACATTTAGCTTATATTATATATAGATTTTTAAGCACAACAATATCCAATAGCAATGAGAAATGTACAATAAATAATATACCTTTCAACCATGACAAAATTTAGAATATTGAAATCAAAATAATACTTTAATGAATCTTTAAAATATTAAAAACATTCAAACTTTATGCTTTTATGATTATCTCTCTTGATGAATCTTTCAACATAATTAAGATTCCTTTTTCATTTCGATGAACTTGTACTAAACTAATGCGAACATCTCTTTGTAATGAATCTTTGAAGAATATATCTTTGATTTTCATCAAAGTGAAGCACATATCATGTCATTATCGTTTCTATAATTTCTTATGGAAAAGATGAAGAATAAAAAGAAATTAAAAAAGAGAAAAAGAACTACACTAATAATGAGAAAATGAAAAATGAATATTCAACATCTCTATGTATGATTGTTATTTATAGATTTGATAATCCATAAGAATAGTTAGAAATGAGTTGAATAGTCATGTTATTTAAGTAACGAATATGAATAGATGGTGGTTTTTTTGTAACTCATTAGATATAATTAGAATAGTAAATATGATTGAATTTTTTATTTAATGAAAAGAATTAAGAAAAAAATCTCAAAAAAAGGAGAAAAAATATAAATATAAATGGATGCCATAGAGAGGTGTCACGTCACCTTGTCTATGTTTCTCCTTTATATTATATATAGATTTTGTATGCAAATGACAAATTTATTCTCTTCAAATCTATTAGTATTTACTAAAAAGAATCCATCATTTTTACAATAGAAAGTACATATATCTTCCTAATAAAACGAATGCACCATCCTTAATTATAAAATTGACTAAAAGTGCATAAAGTAAAAATAACTAACTATTGTACAAATACAATATTCAAATGAGGATACTAAAATGTTACATGCTAGGCTATAAATAAAAAACAACAACAACTAAAATTCTCAATAATGGAGTCATATTAATACATATATTTATATATGTAAAAAGAATATAATATAGGTTTGTATGATTTTTTTTCTTTTTGTTAAGGGCAAACATAACCATTCATATTCATGATTGGAAGATGAACAAAAAAAATAATTCATAAATTTACTCTAACATAAATTAATACAATGAATACATATTCAAGAAACTTTATGGTGGTTGATTCATGTACTAATATAATGATTTGCTTTATTTAATATTTAATTTATTAAATAATTTATAATATTTAAATATAATATAGGGGTAAAATTGTAATATAATTTTTGCCTAAAATTCTTCCCACTTTTATAGTTAATTTTTGGACACGTGTATTTCCATATTAATGAACTTTTTTAAATATAAATAATATTAAAATGTGTGTTTTTTTTCTTTTTTTAATAAAAGAAGAAAGAATATAAGCTCGAGATAAATAAGAGCTTAATTTATCTATTTTATATTCATGTTCACACACAACTCACAAGCACAAAATACAATGGGCAGTGAAAATAAAAGAAAAATAAAATAAGAGTATAGTGATAAAAGAATATGCATAGTGAGAGGCAACAGAAATTATAATAACTTCAAAAACATGTTTTTACTATAGTATAAACACATGCTTATATCAAGTAAATAGAATTGCATATGAAGCAACAACACTGCATCAAAATATAACAAAAAGATGAGGAATAAAAAAAGTCACCAAACAAGTTGATGTAGTGTCAAAGGGAATGAGAAAATGAGAAAATCAGTTGTGCGCATTAAAAATCAATTGAAAAAAAAAATTGTGCTATCAACCAAAGGAAGAATTTTGACAATTTTTTTAATCTTTCTTGTAAATTGTAATCCCAAAAGTCATGCTACATTCTTTGCAAATTGCCATACTTGATATGAATTTATACAAATATATTGCTACAATGTAATTAAGTTGAAAGCACAAAAGGTAAAACAGTTTTCAAAAATATCAAATACATTAAGTTATATTTTAATAAAAGTAGATTTAGCTACATTATTATAATATATTACTCCATAAAGTACTTCATCAGTTTTAATTTTTTGTTTTTTGTTTTTGTAAGTTTGTCTTAAGACTTCCAATAAGAGTATATGAAAGGTTTGACTACAATATTATTTATTTATTACTCTATAAAGTACTATTTACTTTTTAATATGTTTATTTTGAAGATTTATGTCTCTAAGGAATACTATTTATTAGTAAGATATATATTTATATACAAAAATATGCATGTCATCATATGCAGAAAAATGAAAAAGAATAAACAAAGCAATATATCAATCAGAATAAGAAAGAGTAACCAATAAATGAAAAAATACATTAGAATTAAAAGATGATGAAATACAAAAGTGTAGTGGACTAACATTTTATGTCCAATTTACAAAGTAAGAAATTGTGTGCATCAAAAATTGTGAATGAATGTGAAAGTAATAGAGAAAACAATATAAATTACTTAATTTTGTAGATGGATATGCATGGTTGTGTTGACGACATAGAATCAAAAAATTGTTAATATATTTACCTCTTATTTTTTTGCTAATAGATTAAGAATTGATAACATAAGGAGTTATTATAGAAATGTATTGAAAAACTTAAAAGAAAAGACATTCATTTCATAAACAATAAAAGAGAAAATCAATTCAAAAAAAATATAAAAGAATGATTTACCTTTTCATCTACTGTGGCCATACAACTTCCATTTTTCTATTAATTTGTATTTACTTCTTTTTTTAATTTATCATGTTTATAAAATATATTTTTATATTTTTACACTTATATGTTTTATATATATTTGCTTGAAATACAAAAGAATTATTCAATATTTCATGGGCCTGAAAAAACTCCCAAACCCAGTGCTCTTGATG